GGTGTTTACCGCTTGCGATTTCGGCTTATCAATGTTGGCGAGCCAACGCTCACCGGTCAAATACCTATCTTAGACGAAGTTTGGTCAAACCCCTTTAAGGCATTTTCTGCCAAGGACTTCCCCGGAATGAATCCAGCACCATTCCTATCGGAACAGCTGAAAATGCTAGGTGCCGATGGTACCAAATCCAAAAAAGTTAAGTGAATGCCTTAGCAAGACGGCAAACATATACGGCACCTTGTACATAAAACATGCTCCTCTGGGAACGTTGAGGGTAACAGGACTGATGAGAAATGGAGTTTCGACTATGGCTCGACGGATTTTCGTGTGATTGCACTAACATCAACGTCTGATTTGTCCCAAATATCTCGCAATTTGACAACCATCTGTGCGTATTTCGGGTGTTCTTCGACGGAGTCAAGATAAAGCGTCCCTTCGTGATTTTTATTTTCTTCGCGGAGCAAGAACGCCATTTGCAGCATAGATAGTACGTGCCCTTGAGTGATAGCAAGATGGAACCACTCTTTCGCCATATTGCAGAAATCATTAGGGGAATAGTATCGAGAAGAGACGGACAACAACTTTTGGAGTATTGGTCTTGATAGATATTCGTCAGGGACACTAATGGCTTCGAACCTCTCCAAGCCGAGATGCCAAAGAAGGTAAATTTTGCCCAGATGATAACGAGCTTCCATGTTACCATCCCCCATAGCACATTTTGTGAGATATTCTTCAATTTTGTCCGAACCACGCTCCGTTTTAAGGAGTGTAGCAAGAAGAATCGCAAAACTTTGGGACCGATCATATCGTAATGCACCTAGTTCGGCAGCCCTTTCCGCATCATCGATTTCGCCGAGCTTTAGTTTCAGTTCAGCATATGCCTCAAAAGGCTGACGAATTCGGGATATTGAAGTTGAAAAGAGGTAGTTGGAAGTCTCTGAGGGCTCCGACAGCTCTGCTACTTCAACGGCTTTCTGATACCAGTTTACTGCGCTTTGTAATTGGCCTTTAGATTCCAGAATGGATCCGTACAGTACCATAGCAGGCCAGATCTTCGCCTGCTGAGCAAGGACTTCAAGTTTCCGAAGCAACCATGCTTCATTATCGGCCTTGGAATTGAGCAATCGAGAACTAAGAATAAGAATAGCCATTGGCTCCCCAGCATGAGCTACTTTAGGCAATAACCATTCAGACACAATATGGTGCCTAGGAGAGCGTTGAAGTATAGCGGCCACCATGGTAATTTTGTGAAGATCTTTTCATCTCAGGTTAGATCAACTAGGAGTGAAAATGGTTGTGGAAAATCACATACCGCTGTGAATATCCTTAACCAGATTCGGGGTAGAGGTCTCCGTGCTTTCTTTGGCAGCACTTATACATTTCCGAGCGATATCGATGGCTTCCATCCATTGGAGATTGAAACCGCTTTCTGTTGCTGACGTGAACAGTTCCAGCGGGGGACTAGGAACTGATCCATAATCTGGCATCCGCCTTCGTCCCTGGCCTCGAAGGGACGGTGCCTTAAAGGCTTGACCACTTGCATACCGGCACTGGATGCTTGTGAGACGGGAAAATGCCGACGGAGCCGTAGCCCGATATGGGAAGCGCATTTGTGAATAGAATAAGCGAAAACGACTCTTTGTATCTTATTTCATCGATGTTTTAGAGAGCTCTGGCTCGTCGATGTGACCCTTCTAGCATCCCAACTGAAGGTTGCGGGTTGAATTCGCATCATCGCTCGTCGTCTTTTTGGACGAATTTGCTGACAAATTAGCATCACGTGATTAGTTAGTTAGTTACCAACCAGGCGGGCAGATCGAATATCAGATCACCCTCCAACTAATACTCTAGAAGCATTCTTGATTTGATTCTTGATACTGTGTATTTCTGAAGAGCGAATTTCATTTACGACCATGTGCATGGGATGAATTGCGCTTGCCTATAGCTCAGGTAGTGGCATATTATCTCATTGATACTGCTGCCAGAACCAGTCAGGTCAAAACCTTGCAGTTTCTCTAGGAACAAGCACCTGGATGCCAGGAAAGGATGTCAAAGCCCTGGTGCCCAGGCTCTCCAACTTTGTACATTAATTAGAATGGTGCTAATTATATCTAAATTGTGCAGGGTGCATTGGTGATTTTAATCAATCCGCATTGCAATTGATGGACCTAACCTAGTACCCTTGTTCGAATTATCTTTCAAACATGGGCATAATGGGCTGAATCCTAGTATCTGCCTTGATAAACAATCCTGTTCTCGATGTTGCAATTTCTAGGGAATGCTTGATTTTTTATTGGAGCGTGGTGTCTCTCTTCGGAAGTCTAGCCCTTTTGAGATGCAGTGCTTTTCTGAAATGTCTGTAACGTGGAAAGGCTTCTGCAGCTTGGAGTTGACATTGATGAAGAACTTCAAGTCAGAAAATACGCTAAGAAAGAATTGGCACTGCTCTAAACTTCGCCATCGAAGGGAGACAGCTCATGAGATGGCCAGGGAAGATTATCCCCATCTTTTGCCCAGCAATGCAAAATGCGTAAGGCGATCGAGGTGTTTGAAGAAAAGGCATGAAGAATCATCGTCCATTCCTCCCCTCTGAAATGACTCAATACTAGTCATTTTATGCATTTATATCTTGCTCCTCCATACCCCTATTTGTAGGTTCAAAAAAAGACCAGTTTCTCCCACACAGAGTTTGGCCCGGCTGGCTTTGGTCGCCAGGAGAGTATTGGCTTCTATCAATAGATTTCACGTTTACTCTCTTGTTGGTTGGCTGTTCTTCCTCCCAGGTTGCCTAATAGAAGCTGTCGTCGCCGATTGTGTATCAGTTCTTCAGCTCTGCGAATGCTTCGGGTTTCTCTTCACTCGCGCCAGACAAGAAATCAGGTCCCCTCCTATCGCCCAATTCCTCGAAACAAGATCTGCGAGCATACAAATTTCGATATATGCCCTCCGCAATTAGCAGTAGGGAAACCAAATAGGGAAACCTGTACTTCTGAAGCGTACATGTGCCCTACTGGATACTTAATCATTTCAAAAGGTTGTCAATGGTGCTCCTCTCAGTCTCAGCTAATGCCAAGGTATGTCCAGAAACAAACCATAGTTTAGCTGAGAAGGCCTTGATCTCACGAGTCATTGTTATCCGTATAGGTGGACGGACGAGGGCTTATCTCAGGACTTTCGATAGAATAAAGACTTGAAAAGCCCATAGTCCGAGGGACACCCCTCTAGCTCAGCGAGTTACACCCTTGCCATGGAACTGAACGCGTTTCTCTTCTCAGGGTTGTCAGTTTCCTCACCAAGAAAGAGATGGTCAGTTATCCTTTACCTTGCTTGTGAAATCCGGCCCCTCTTCTCACATGTCCGTATAGTCTTGTAAATCATCAGTCTCCGTTAGCCTTGGAAGCTGGCCGAGGCTTGGGGTTCATCAATCATTGTTAGGATGTTGCTGGAAGTTCCGAAACCTGAGAGAGTTTGCATGAAGAAGAGTGAGATGGGGTGCGATTAAGCATAAAACGGCAGCTTGGATGTGGGGCGGACGGCCGCTTGCCATTGGATGTACGAAACTTTTCCTTGTGCCAAATCCAGAGCGCTGGGTTTGGGGAGCTCGCCTTAGATTCCGCAAATATTTTACCAGGTATCGATGACACAAGGGCATCATACTTTTACGTCGAGCGTTGAAGGCTTGGCTTTGTTTTCATAGTTAACCATAACTCCAGCAACATCATGTAACTTGCTTGTAGTAGGTAGTTAGTTATGCGAATCCACACAATTATTGGTGAAGATTGGGAGCTGAAGAGTGACAACGACGGGATCATCGATGGCCAAGGTTGAAGTTAATAATAAGCTGATTTCCTTCTTCCCTCGTTACAGAGCATTTGAGGCCATGAAGGATTAATATGCGAGGCTCGAGGTTAAATATTAGGAAAGCTCAGACTAACTCTGTACCCTTGGTCCCTGGGTAGGTTGGAGAATTCTCTACACGCTTGGGTCGTCAAGGACGAAAGCACAGCATTCTTGTCCTTGGCCCTGGCACAGAGCTATGTTGTTCGGGATCCCGGTCTATTATTGGGGAGATTTTTGAACCTTGCGGTCCTCTTGGAGATCTCTCAGGGCCTCATTCCATTGGAAGAACGTGATTTGCGATCAGCAGCCCCGAATCGGACTATCGCGTTGGGTGCTTGATGGCCAGCAAGGATCTACCCGGTTATTGACGATTTGATGATTGACTCCACACCAAACCAAGATCAGGCTTGACCTTGAAAATCTTCAGACGGGACCAAACAGAGGCGAAAATGATGCTTAGCCCTGAGAAACCATTTTCCTTCAGCAATGCTCTCCCACTCTAAACCATGGATGCATGTTTAATGGGACAGAGATGAGCAATTGGTCAAACCCTAAGGTTCACTAGGAATCATTTCATGCGACACGTCAAATGCCGCTTTTGAGCCAGGGAGGGAGCACAAACATCTAACTTTGCCCATGCATTTCACAGATGGGTTTATTTCCTTGGGCACGGAGTATAAGGCACGACTTCATAGCCCTGCAGGTGACACAATTCAATAGCACGAGAATAGAGACATGGCAAGTCTCCACAGCAGCCAACAAAGATGGGAATGCTTGGCGGGATGCAGAGAACCGAATCCATTGAAGAAGGCACTGGCTCCGGGTAGTCTCTCAGCATCATCAAGGATCAGCATCGAATAACACTGGTCTCCCCCGCCTGCTGTGAGAGGGGGTCGGTTGCAGGCCACATCCTAAATAACTAGCGAGGAAGACAGGCCCATGTGTTTGGCCACATGGAGTTGGGTCTGTCCAAGCCACTAGCTACTTTGGGCTGGCGCTTCTTAGTCATCCGCGAGAGTTTTTCTCATCCTGGAAAGCGCGCGATAAACATTCGCTTCTGGCAGGGGTCGTCCACGGCCAGCCAATGAGAATGTAGCCCCTGCACAAAATCTCACCCGCTGCCGGGTCGGCGACCTGATTGGCCAAACCAAACTGCGGGATTGGGCCAGCACGGAACATCATTGGATAACCGCCGCTCCACACCCCAGCCAGCTACCAATAGCGGCGAGAGAAGCGGTGGGACTCGTCGGTGGAGTTTGTGAAGCCGGGAATCCTGTCACGTCCCGCCCAAAAACTGCTCTCAGAGACCTCCGCTCCTGCGGCACAACGGATGAAATAAGAACAATGCCGTTTGCACTGGCGGTTTGACAATACGGGGTTTGGGTAACTTTTGCACCCTGGCTGCTGACTTCCATCGCTTTCGTCTATTATCGCCAGGGGTCCGGCGCGGTTTGATCCAGCGTCGTCTCCACTACTGCTCGATGTCAAGGATTCGTGGAGGCTGTCTTCTTGCTGGGTTCAGGGGGCTAACGTCCAAAGGATGCCACGATGGGGCCTCTGACCGAGTTAGCGTGTGGACTGGACCCTTCTTCGCCCGGCTGTGCGTGATTGCGATTGATTGCCGTTGCCCTACTGTCTGGACCAGCGCCAAAGTCCACCCTCCGTCTGCCTATCATCAAGCGGCTGCAAGAGGGTTTTGAGTGTCCACCATCGTTTGCTTCTCGAAAATTACCTAGTTTAGTATGATCAAGCCCCCTTTCACATCGGCAAAGACCACTGAATCAGCGACCCTTTGTCTGTCGATGCGGAGGCTGGTCCTGAACCAAGGTTCTCCTTGATATCCACAGGAACTTCATAGAAGATCTCCGTTATTCCACCTGGAAAATCGTGAGTCCGTTGCTCTCTGGGCTGGCTTTTTTTTTTGCTCATTCAGATTTACCCCAGCTTTCAGCAATTGGAGGGACGCATCTCGCTCCACCACTTCCCTCGCCCCATACGCTCGTCGTCTGGCCCCAATCCGGTTTCAATCGCCTGCTGCTGACTCTTGTTTCATCGTTCGTCGCAAAAACGTGCTCTTCCAAGTAGCATCTGGTCGCCTTCTGCCGTTTTCAGCCTTCTGGACTAGTTGAAAGGGCTTTTGGTTGGATTGGTCTCGAGCGCGTTGCTGATATTGGGGTTCCTGACTCTTACAACGCTATCGCCGACGAGGATGGATGTAGAACGATCGCGGACGCGGCGGGAGCGGACATTTGTTGGGAGTGAGTGCTCGGTTTGTGAAGAACCGCTGGAACATACCCTTCGAGGCGAACGGATCATTCAGTTTACGTGCGGGCATGTTTCTCACGAGGCCTGTTTTTACGAATACATCAAGGAATATGACAGTCAGTATTGTCTGACATGCAACGCGCCGTTGAGTCTCGATAGCAGCAGAGGGGGGAATCTGCTGGATCTTGGTAAGAGCGTCAACTTCGCTGACGGTAGTATAGCGCTGAGTTAACCAACTTTCAGAAAAGCTCAGCAGTATTGTTCGATCAGTGTCTGATGTATCCGCGCACCACACCACGCCAAACTCCCCCGCTCCGGCCTGGGACTCAGGCGCCCGTATGAGCCAGACGCCAAATGAATTTTCGACGAGCTCTCTGAACCGCGATAGCCAACACTCCCGGCGCCGTGACAGTCGGGACACAACTCATCAGCGCGAGAGGATCGAGCGACTGGCCGCACCTTCAAGGAATAAACATGTGCGCAATGACAGCGAAGCAGCAGGCACCGCCACCTCAAGCGACTATCCCGATACACAGCGATCGAGCTTTGGACGAAAATACGACTATGACGTTCAGGTCATGGAGTCAGCTCTCAGCCCGCGACCAGGAGTGATGAAAAATCCGATTCCCGCTCCAATCGTCACAGTTCGAAGCGAATTTCCCACATTGAATCGTTCACGGCAGCAGCAATCTCTTACTTGCCTTGTCACGATTGAAGTTCCTGGTGGAAAATGGCACCCTGATTTAGAAACCCTGCGCCTCGCTCCCCTGACTCCGGCGCTTCCCCGCGAAGAACTCCAGAGCCCTTTAAAATCGGCCCATTTATCCCATCAAATTCCCAGCCGAGAACAATTTGAGCTTCACCAAGCTTTTGATGAAATCACGGAAGAGCTGCGTACGCGCGTTGATAACTGGCATGGCCTTGAATTCGACCGGTTCGTAGAATGACGCCTCGTCTATAAGTTCACCGTATAGCAGCTAACGAGATTTTTAGATTCGGCAAGCTTAAGTTGCATGGAAAGCTCAAGGTTGGGAAAGATAGACGATCTTGGCAGGAACTTGAGTGTTACCTCTTCTCGGAGATGCTTATCTGCGTGAAAGAGAAGAAGATTGCAGATCAGCACAAATACGAAGATGGTTCTATAAGCCGCAAAAGTGCTCGAAGCACATTAAAGGGTTCTATACTGATCAAGAAGCACCTCAAGGAAGTGGAGGTCTCTTCGGGTAAGATAATTTACGGCAATATATTTTTTGGGTTTTGAGTGACGCTGACCGGCTTATAGAGGAGCCCGTTTTAACGCTAAATCTGTCTGTTAATGAGTTGCCTTGCTTCCATCTCCAATTTCAAAGTCACAACCAACTCGAAGTATGGAGACGCGCCTTATTGGACTTGCATCACCCTGATCCTCCCGTTCGAAACCCTGAGTATGACGTGGAACATTCAGGAACGGAGGAAGAGGACTACAGGACCCTACAAACCAAGAAGCGAGTCTCTTCAACCACTTCTTCTTATGGTGCCGGAAAGTCCAGTGCTACCGCATTAACAGATTATACGATGTCGATTCGTGATGGACGACCGGCTAGCTTCCACGTTCCGCTTGACACTGTTGTCGTCATTCCCATTTCCTCGTCTATGCAAGGACTTAAAATCACACTGTTGCGTGACACTCTGCGGTTCCTTGTTCAAAACCTTGGACCTCGCGATAGAATGGGCCTTGTGACGTTTGGCTCAAGCGGTGGGGGTGTCCCGCTTGTTGGAATGACGACCAACGCCTGGAGCGGGTGGAACGGTGTGCTTAATTCAATCCGTCCAGTTGGCCAGAAAAGCCTTCGGGCAGACTTGGTTGAAGGTGCTAATGTGGCCATGGACTTGTTGATGCAGCGCAAATCCAGCAACCCACTGTCGTCCATCTTGTTGATTAGCGACTCATCGACTTCAGAGCCTGAAAGCGTCGACTTTGTCGTTTCCCGGGCAGAGGCTGCTAAGTGAGTAACTTGAGCTGAATCGCGGTTCTGATTTTCAAAGCACGCGACTGACATTCATGCCAGGGTCGGTATATATACCTTTGGGCTTGGAATGACCCATAAGCCCGACACCCTAATCGACTTATCTACTCGGACGAAGGCATCCTATATGTACGTCAAAGACTGGATGATGCTTAGAGACTGCGTAGCCGGATGTCTGGGCTCTTTACAGAGTACCTCACATCAGAACGTCAAGTTGAAATTGCGCTTGCCTGAAGGATCTCCAGCCAGGTTTGTCAAGATCAACGGGGCCCTACAGACCACCAAACGTGCAACAGGCAGGGACGCCGAGGCGGCGTTGGGCGACTTAAGATTTGGAGATAAGCGAGGTAAGCAGCCAATTGTGATCGCATTGTTTTATGGGATTGTTCCTGAATTTCTCGATAGACGTTCTCGTCCAACTCGCAATTTCTCCTGATAACTCTTCTCCCGACCACGTTCCCCAGGACCCTTGGGAGAGCATTGTCTCTGGCCTTGAAGCGCTTGGAGGTCCCCTGGATGGAGAGGACCAACGCGTGACAAGCATCGAAGAAGTGCCACTGATCCAAGCTGATGTAACGTATGGCGATATCTTACGTGATGGGCATCTTACACATTCTCCTCGCCCGTCCCTGCTTGCCATCACTATGCTGCCCGCTCATCATAAACCGAAGAGTATCGGAAGGCCAATTACGCCGCCAATTCCTCCTCACCCCTCCATCGTGCAACGGCGAATGGAACTCCTTACCTCCGACATGCTGATGCGCGCTCTGACCCTGGTCTCTCGCGGGCAACAGGACCGCGCACATCACCTCCTCACCGAAACGAGGAGTATCCTGAAAGGCCTTGGCAAAGGTAGTCTTCCGCCTCTGCCTCCAAGCGCGACAATGAAGTCTCTCGCTGATTCAAACGGCGATCTCCATTCTCCAGCACCGTCGTCACCACGCTCTTCCGACATCCCAGATGGGCGGCAGTCCTCGCACAGCTCTGAAGCGGCTACCATCACCCCTGTTGCAGCCATTGATTCCAATACCATCTCTGCGCTAGATTCGGATCTCGAGGCAGCCCTAGAATGGATCAGTCACCCTGCGGTGTTTGGACGCGATTCGAGAAAGGCAGTCCTACAAGCCATTGGAGTTATCTCAACGCAACGGGCGTACACATTTCGGACCCCCTCTGAAGCGCAATGGGCGGGCAGAATATTCGGTATCAAACGGCTTACAGAAAAATCGCGGGATTGGCGTGAGGTTGGAGATAGCTCCCTGACCGAAGAGTAGCATTTGTTACTACTCTATATTCTTGCCACTTTAATTTACCTACATCCTTCTCCTCTTCTCCCCTTTTTTTTCTTGATTTTGGTTACCGGTTTTTTGCATTGCACGATTTCACACACTTTCTATTTGTCTGATTCCCCCGCTTTGGGTCGGATTGGTTTAATGAATTGACGCTAATTTATGCCCCCCGTTTTTACGCATTTGAGGTTTTGGTCGCCTGGAATGGGTTATATCTACGCCGGGTCTTTTAGATGTTGCCCAAGATACCATGTACTATTGTTGTTTTTCTCCCGTTATTATATATATTTCTGTCTTCCCAAGATGAATACCCCCTGTTTAGCTTTTGGATATTGCAATATGCCTAATAATGTTTTCATAACTGGATTTATATGGGGTTGTCTCTGCAAAGATGTGGATGATATCTAGGTGATTGGGTTGATATTGTCGGCTCCACTTGACTTATTTGAAGGTGTCCGTTCCGGATATTTTAATATATTTTTTGAGTGTTGGTTACATATCCAACTTTGGGAGTTGTAACGCCTTGAATTTTGAAGGCGCGCTTCTATCTCGTTGATTCATGGCGCAACGGAATGAAATATCATATCAATGCAAACTCCAAAAAAAAAGGCCACTAGTATACACAGATGGAGCGACAACAAAATCCCGGGGGAGGTCTAAAATAAAAAGATTCCATCCCGAACACACACATAAAACGGGTGTTTATCAACCGACACTCCTGGACGCAACACATTGAACACAGCCCACAGCCGCGTCCCGCCGTTCGCGCGGACAAAAATTCGCTTATTCCAAAACGGCCTTTGCCCCCAACGCCTTGAGCGTCTCCACGATCTTCTCTGCCTCCTCCTTGGGCACACTCTCCTTCATCACCTTGGGCACGCTCTCCACGAATTTCTTGCTCTCCACCAGGCTCAGGCCCAGCATCGACTTGACCTCCTTGATCACCTTGGCCTTGGAGGCGGCGTCGAACGACTCGAGCTTGAGGTTGAACAGGGTCTTTTCTTGCGCGGCGGGGGCGGGTTCGTCTTCTTCAGCGGCAGCGGCGCCGGGTGCGGCGCCTCCGGCGGGCATGGCGAAGCCGCCGACGGGGAGGTCGGGGATGTTGAGACGGGACTAAGGAGAGCGAGAAGAATTTTGTCAGCACAATATGACGAAGAAAATGCTTTTCATTATTCATTGTTTCTTTTTTTTTTCTTCCCTCTCCCGCCTCTCGTTCCCTTGAGCCTACTCTACCATCGTACCTTCAAGCTTGAAACCAAATCCGCAGTCTCCAACAGTGTCAATTGGCTTATCTGGTCCACGATCTGAGTGATTTTCGGGTTCGCAGGCGTCGCGGCAGCTTCTGTGGATTCCCACCGGCGGCCGTACCGGGAGATATACGTTGGGGCCGCTCGAGTCACGACGGGAGCTTGTCGGAGTGCATTTCTGCAGCAACGGGCCGAGATCTGGAGCGGGAACGACATGGCTGCTGGGTTTGGTGGGGGCGGGTTGGTTGCTCGATTCAGTCCCGGTCTTCCTCCTTCCAAGTACTTCGTCCTCGTTGAAATGGGCGCGGAATGGGGGCAATGGTTTGGTTCTCGTTGAAGCTGCGGATTTTTGATGCGCGAAACTTTGAAAAGTCGATGTGTGGCTGGCCAATCGCGGTGCTCACGTGAGGATTATGTAACATTAGTTCCTGTGGCTTGACTGTGGCTTCATAGATAGAGAATGGCTTGGACGAGTAGCAAGTCAAAGCAGCAACTACAAATTCCAGCTATCCAGCAAGCACAAAGAAAACAGCCAAATCAATTGTTAATTACTGTAAAAGCAAGGTGCGTGCGCTCAAACCCGAAATCCAGCTGAATTTTGCTAATGGCGCAAGCTTCAGAGTCACAATATTGTGTTGGCCTATGTGCCCTGTTGATATCAGCAAAGCAATGCCCAATCTATAACTACTCTTGATCACTGATAGTAGGCTCCCTGGTCCAATGCAAGAGGAGTCCCAGCGGGCCACAACTTGAGTATCCCTTCTTTGACTGCGGCAACCTCCGAAGCATTGGTTAGAATTTGCTGCTGGAGCAAGAAGTCCAGTTGGCCGCTTGTCCAGCACCGGCAACCAACGCCTTCCGAATCGAATTCGTACTTATGTCGATTGTGTTCGATGATGGTGTTGTAAACGTCGGCAGCGGTTAGGTTCGGTTTGACAGCCAAATCAAAAGACTTCTCGGCTTCCATAGAGACGGGACAATTGAGTCTAGAAATCACGACATTTGCCTTGGATCCGCCAGGCAGAACGGTACTTGGGACGCTATAGCTGGGCTGACAGTCGATTCTGACAGAGGTGTTTTGGGGAGTGCTAAGATAGAGACACCAGTGATTCGTGTCCGCTTTCTGTCGGTGGCCAACTGCGAGAATCGACCGCACCGGAAGCGCCAGCATGCTGGCCTTTTCGCTGGCGGGGACAAAATGGACTGGGTTGAAAGACATGGTTGTTTCAACGGTTAGTATACCTTGATATGTAGAGGACGAAAGGGGCGGTAGAAAAGGGCGGTTACATTCGATTTTCAAGGGCAATTCTCAATCAGCTTCACAGGGCTGCAGGTTTGATGATGATAGAACCCTTCGGAGGGGGGGATGCTTCTTTATATCCTTAGCCAAGCGTGCAGAGGTGATGTGTTCAAGGGATCTATTCAAGGGTTGAGGTGGTCAAAGCAGCACTTAGAATGTCAAGCAACAAGAACCATACTCCACAACTACAGATGATAGAAAAGGGTGAGAAATAAAAGGCTCTTGTATCATCTTCTTACTTTACATGTAGATATTCGTAGTTCGATCCTAGAAATAGCACTCCGTACTTCTGTAAGACTTATCGATGGGAATCCCAAGATTGATCGAGCCGCAACATCTAGGCAGCAGCAGTCATCGTGGACACAAGATTTCACCTAATAACCATCAACAACCAACCCCTTTCCCAAATTTTGACTCTTTATAAAATCCAAGGAGGCTTTCGTCATGTTCAATCTTGATGAAAACGTCCCGCCACGCGCCCCCGGAGACCCAGACGGGTCGATATTCGCCCCGATTGTCGACGTACGTGCTCGCGACTTGTACTCTACGCCGAGATTCTAACATGCTCGCAGCCCAGAAGCAAAGACAATACAAACACGTTTCCACTAGATGGTGTCGATATCGACCGCGTTTCGGATGCGGATTTGATCCAACTGGCGGACACTGCTCCGCTTCTGTACCAGATTGGAACAGAACGAGTTCTCCGGGTTTCGCGGCACCTCGTCTTGAAATGCGGCGGTTACATTCTGCCCAGCGAGGTCAACGCACTGGAGCTCGTTGCGGCAAAGACCAGCATTCGAGTTCCGCGCGTCCACAGGTCGTTTCAAGTCAGTGATTCGAGCCAGCGGTTCGGAACCAAGGGGTATTTCGTGATGGATTATATCGACGGTGAAAACCTTGGAGATTGCTGGAAGCACCTCACCACTCATCAGAAGCAAGACGTGGTTACGCAGACAGTGGCTATGATCAAACAACTTCAGGATTTGGTTATTCCAACAGCAGGCCCCATCGGCGGAGGGCCCTGCCGCGGTCGATTCTTTACAGTTTACAGTGCTGGCCCGTTCAGCTCTGCAGCAGATATGGAGGCCTGGTTCAACCACAAACTCACGATATGCAAACACTACAACAAAGCCCCGAAAGATTTACCGCCCTTCAAATTCACAAAGTTCGTCCTGGTCCATCAGGACATTAGCCCTCGGAATATGATTTTAGATGCGTCCGGCCAAGTCTGGCTGATTGACTGGGCGGACTCGGGTGCTTATCCGCCGGCGTTTGAGCGTGCGGCGCTAGCAGATCAGCCTCGATTTCCGGAGTTCAATGGGATGATGCTCGAACGGCTTCCGAAACAAGAGCTTGAGGAGCAGCTACAGTCCATCGCGTATGGATTGACTGTTGCAAGTTTCGCATAACTGGTTCGCAGAAGTGACGAGCGGTCTGCAATTTAAGTCAACCCTGGAGTCTCTAGAACGATTGGGGTTTCCGCATATTTTTGATACGAGCACCCGGGAATCTACGGCATTGCCTATTGACGCCTCAAAGAATAATGTCAAGTAGGGGGATGCTAACATGCTGGTGACGAAGATGTCATGGCGGGTCCGTGAAAGGTGACTAAACAGTCGTCCCGGTCCTGTCGAGGTATCCTTTCCTTTTTTAAACAGGGATTTTTCGAAGCAGGACCAAGTGCTGCGAAGTGGACTGGAGATCTTGTTATAGAGCGACTACACTGGGCTCTACGGATATTTCAAAATGATGTTTTAATTCATAAAGGAGTGGGTGGCTACAAGTGCATGTCAATTTTGCATCTCGATGCCTTGGTCCCTATTTGATGCAATTATTTATTCTACGTTGAACTCTACTATGTATTTCTAGCATCAAAGGCCATATTCGGATGCTAGTGAATAATTTTAAGACAAGTGAGATTTTGAACATGTGGTTAAGAATACCAGAGCAATCAAAGCAACCTAACTACCGATAGCCAGCCTTTTATGCCCTAGTTTAGTCTCATTGTCACTTTTAATCTTCATCCCAGTTGGGATTTTGACCTGGTGGCTTGGGACCGCCAGCCTGCCTTGCCACTATAATCTGGTCAACACTGAGCACGGTCCTTGCGGCCTCGGTCGCAAGTTTAATCGCCCATTGCTTCGAGACAAGAAGATCTAGAATTTCCTCCTCAACGGCGTCAATCGTGCCACTTGGGGTGGAGGCCTGAATGTCAACGCCAGTCGTCCAGTATGCGTCTTCTTCTTCTTCTGAAGACTCTTCCTCGTCGTCATCTTCAGACGACGCTTCAGACTCCTGCTCGTTATTTCCTGAGCTACTCTGTTGCTGGTGAGCGGTATATAACCTTGATAAAACTTCTGTCGCGTTGAGACCTGCTGATTCGGCTAGTGTGCGAGGAATCACTTCAAAAGCTTCGGCATATTTTCGAATCGCGTATTGAGCTAGTCCGGGAGTTGTATCGGCGAATTTGGAGATTCTCTCTGAGAGTTGAATTTCCGTGGCTCCAGCTCCTGGAACAAGGCGAGGGTCTTTGGTAATCGCTTTCACGGCATTGACACCATCATCGATCGCGCGCTCCACATCATCTAAAAGGTTTTGAGTCGCACCGCGAAGTACGATGGTAGATGTTCGCGTCACACTGCTTGTGTCCTCTTGGCGGAAAACAGTGACTCGATCACCACCAATTTCCATAGTCTCAACAACATCAATGCTTCCCATCTCGTCTGGCATTGGAGCTCCCAACCGGGCAAGTGGAGTTGCTCCAACGACACGGCATAATCTGCGGAGTTCAAATTTCGAGAGCACTTTGATGACGAGGATGTTGAATCGGTTCAAATAGTGCATGGCCAATTCGCCGACTGTCGTACCAGCCACCAACACGCGGAGGCCGGAATCATAAAGTTCCTTGATCGCGGCTTCTAGACGATTTTCTTCACCCTTTGTAAAGTCAAGCATTTCCTTTGCATTTTTCAAGAGAACTGTTCCTTTCGTTTCCGTCTGCGAGATGTCAACCGGGCAGCTGTAAACTCCAACTTTGGCTTTTCTAGCCTTTTTAATGGATCCTTCTGGTTCCCGTCCGAAGACCATTCCTTTTACCACTTTTGATTGTTCCAGACTTCCGCCCATAATCTTGACTACTCGAACATTGTCGACATTGAACTGAGCAGGGTTTTTTGGTAAAACGGCCAATATGGCTTCAGCGACGAGAGGGGCCAAGATGTCTTCGGAGCCACACTGTTTGCTTCCAATCACTGTCTTCAATGCCTTTCCCAATTCGGGTGTAGAGCGTAACTCTTGTAACCTGTCTACTTCAAGATCTAATCACCAGCCAGCAGCTCAGTCAGATAGATATTACTTTTAAGCAAAGCCAAGAGAGGACTGGGAGCTCACCATCCAAGCACTTCAGGGCAAAGTTTTGCGCCTTTTCATAGCCCTGTACAATGTCACTCGTTTTCAATCCCATTCGAATGAGATCCTCCGCTTTCTTTAGTAGTTCGCCAGCCAGTACGATAACCATGTTTGTGCCGTCGCCCATTTCGGCCTCTTGTTGCTGACTGGCCATAACCAGCAGTTTTGCGGCGGGATGCACTACATCCAGTTCACGTAAAATGGTCGCAGCGTCTGAGGTCATGATCATCTTCTGAAGATGGTTGATCACGATTTTGTTGCGGCCATACGGGCCAAGGGAGGTCTGAATAGTCTGGGCAATGGTGCGGCACGCATCAATGTTCCGGACGACAGCACCATCTTCGGCATCATAGCTATGCGGATTGAAAAGCAGGGGTAAGTATGTGATGTTTGGCGGGGTGCCTCGAAGCTCTCTTACCTATTGTAGCCCTGCTTGAACAGGCCGGCGTTCGGCGCATTTGGGATTGACAAAGACATTGTGGACCGTGACCACTGAATATATCTTCAATCCACACAAGATAGTCGAGCACGGGAGGCTGGATGCTGTGGCAGTCAACGAAGCTCTGGCAAGTCAAGCTCAGGCATTTTGCTGTTTCGCTGTGGATGGGCCTAAACGGGAGTTTGCACTGTTTGCGGCATGACATAAGCAGGACAGAGTTGGCTCAACGGCGCTGGGCTTCATCTCCCCAACGCTTCTTCGGCGACAAAAATACCGCTGCGCTCAAAAGCCATTCCCTTCTTGTTTTGTTTATGTTTGTTAAATTAGAGAAGCCGCTTCTCTAAATATGTTTTCCAGACTTGTTCGTGCGCGCCCACTGGGTCAGTTGGGTCGTTTCTCGGCGCCCGTCGCCCGCCGAACTGTGACCACCAACGCTGCCTCAGCTCACGCAGAAGATGTTCCCACCGTATGACACCCGGAGTCGACATGATTTCTCAGGCAGTTTAGGCCAATTGCGACTAATGAACATATAGGAAGATGATAAGCCTTTCACAATCAAGCTCTCTGATGAGAGTTTCGAAACATACGAGCTCGACCCTCCGCCATATTCACTGGAAGTCACAAAGAAAGAACTTAAGCAGATGTACCGTGATATGGTAGCGGTGAGGTGTGTTTTGGACCAATTGAATAGTCCGCAAACGATCCTTTTCACGGAAGCGCTAACCGCTGATTTAGACGCATGGAAATGGCGTCTGATCGACTTTACAAAGAGAAGAAAATTCGAGGTTTCTGTCATTTGTCGACCGGTCAAGAAGCTGTCGCCGTTGGTATCGAACACGCACTCAACAGGGAAGACAAGCTGATTACCGCTTACCGATGTCACGGTTTTGCGTATATGCGCGGCGGAACGATCAAGTCGATAATCGGCGAGCTGCTCGGTCGCCGGGAGGGCATTGCCTATGGCAAGGGTGGATCTATGCATATGTTCGCACCAGGATTCTACGGAGGCAATGGAATTGTTGGTGCCCAGGTCCCGGTGGGTGCTGGTTTGGCATTCGCCCAGCAGTATGAGGGAAAGCAGAACGCGACTGTTTGCTTGTATGGTGATGGCGCATCGAACCAGGGACAAGTATTCGAAGCCTTCAACATGGCCAAGTTATGGAAGCTCCCCGTCATTTTCGGCTGCGAAAGTAAGTCAATTGCGTTTGTTTTGTGCAGCAAGAGCTAACTTGTCTCTCAGACAACAAATACGGAATGGGTACCGCAGCTAACCGTTCTTCCGCCATGACCGATTACTACAAGCGTGGCCAATACATTCCAGGCCTGAAGATTAACGGGATGGACGTCCTTGCCATCAAGGCCGCTATCAAATACGGCCGCGAATACACCCTGGCCGGACACGGTCCTCTCGTCTACGAATACGTCACATACAGATACGGTGGACATTCCATGTCCGACCCGGGCACCACATACCGCACCCGTGAAGAAATCCAGCGCATGCGTAGCACCAACGACCCAATCGCAGGATTGAAGCAAAAGTTGCTCGACTGGAACGTTACGACCGAAGAGGAATTGAAGACGATTGACAAGGAGACTCGTAGCTATGTGGATGCTGAGGTCGCAGAGGCTGAGAAGATGCCTGTTCCCGATGCTACCCCACGCATTCTGTTCGAAGATATCTACGTCCGCGGCAGCGAACCCCTCTGGATGCGTGGCCGTACTGTTGAGGAGACTTTCTACTACTAAACCCCTTTTTCCCTCTTTTTTTTTCGCTACTGAGTGACCACCGTTTTTGATCCTTGGAACTAGCTTGTATGACGTACTGCCGGATATTTCTCCTTTGCCCTTTGCCTGTAATTTAAAGAGCCTTATAAAATCCTACGACCCACATAGCTGGTCCTTTTCCCACGATATTTCAGCATCATACCTGTCGGTAGGAGGTAATTTCTCAATGGCGCGCTTGAATATGAGGAAAACACGATTATATACCATTATCGTACAAATACAAAGAAACTTTGTCTAATGCAGCTTTCTAAGTATACAGTATCTTGGGGATGGAACCACCCTCGAAAGAGAATCCACTCAGCTTGCACGCATACATACATGCGCATCACATAACCTAAACTCCCAAATCATGGAACAAAAATATAGGCATAAAACTCCCCCACTTCTTCCGCCATTGATACAAGTTGCACCTTTTTGTGTCTATCTTCTCCGCAGATACCAAGCAAACGCCGCCCCTCCAATAGTCTCGTTGAACGGCGTCGGCACCTCTGACAAGCCTGGCCTTGCAACAGGATGCCTCACGTAGACAGCAGCGCAGATATTCTGGTTTACTTCTAGGTATCGTGGAATAAAAGCGAATGCGCTCATGTAGTCACGCGGTCGCCAGGGGGTGGCGTATGGCTTTGTGCTATCGATGGGATTGTCGTGGAGTTGGACAAGGGCTTGTTTAAGGACTTCCAAATCGGAGTCGGAGAGGGCTGAGACTGTGTTTGGATCAAGGGGCTGGGAGGGGTTAAGGGTTGCTTCTTGGAAAGCTTTGGTGAGGTTGTCCATGGGCGCGGAATTGGTGGGTTTTTTGTTGGTTGAAGAGGAGTCCTTTCTCGATGGTTGGGAGTTCTGGGGTTTGGAGTCTTTGGATGTTTCGGAGGTCTCGGGTGTTTTGGGGGTCGCTGCTTCGATGTCCTTGGAGAGGACAGCCTTGAGTTCGAGGAATTGTGCTTCCAAGTTCTCTGTTAGAATGGTGCTGGCTGACGAGCGCGAAAGAACTCTTCGAACTGCAAGCTGGAAGGTTCTGATATCCTGTCTACGCTTGGCAGGGATGGTGTGTTTGTTGGCTGACATGATTCCCTTGGCCTTGGATAGAAGCTGTTTCAGTGTCTGGCGAGGATCCTCCTCTTCGGGCTTGCCACTTTCTTTTTCGTCGGACTTGGCTTCATCCTTTGCCTCATCCTTCTTCTTTGACTTCTCGGCGTCTGTACCTCGCAAACGTCGTCGGATACGGCCTGCACGTCGTTCACGAGCATCTTTTGGAGCACCTGTAGCGTACATGACACGCTCTGGATCAACTTGGAAGAGGTCGCCTGGGTTGAGTAGATACCCTGGATATTGCATCTACGTGAATTGTTAGCTTCGTTCAAACCGCAACTCATCCCCGACGAAGTCGAGCAGAGTAGCGCATGCGTACCTTCTTGCCGTTAACCGTCACCCAGCCATGGACAACAAATTGGCGTGCTTGTCTTGTACTGCTGGCGAACAAAGCACGGAATATAGCCACATCCAATCGTCGCTCCAGCGGCGCAAAGGTCATTTGCATGTATGGTATGGGCGGCGTAGACCTTCGAAACACCTTTCCATCTTCACCACCTCTATCCTGAGACCGTTCCAGTCCGGAACCTCGACCGGCAGATTCGACCGTGCCATCGTTTCTTGCCAAATACCTCGCATCCATGGGGACTACGGATCGCAAACGACGCTTGAACATGAGCTCCCACTGGCCTTCACGAACCTGTTCTCCATGGTAGCCTCGGGCGAGGGATTTGGCCGCCCATTTTTGCTGAAAGAAAGTTTTATTCTGGGTATAAGGGGCTTGGATGCGCGTAAGGTTGTAAAGATTGTATTTGCTCCATGATTGCCGCACTTTCTATGAGGGCGTTAGCTTTCCGATTGTGCGGTGAGCTAGGGGATTGCTGTGCTCCTGAGAACAAGCAAGGACGGTTGCCAACTAACCGGCTTCTTTAGATACGTTGTGCACCTATTTCGCATTGTGGCAGGGTGCGGCAATGGGGATTGCGTCTGATGCTGGCCGAGTTCAAACTGTTTGCGGCCGCTTTGGGGAAATTTTGGCACGAAGAATAATCACATGACCTGGTAGTTACATAATACCAATGTTACACGGATTAACAAAGGACCGGTAATCAATGACTCAGCAAAGGCACGTCCAATCAAAGGCGGCTGACCTAAGTTCGCTTGCTGCTAGCGCCAACCTTATTCCGCAGCCGTGTATAAATAGCTCCTTCCCTCCCGCCGAGTTTTGTTTTCTTTCCTTCTTTTTCTCTTCTTCATACTTACCTTGTTTGGGCGGGTGCGATCATCGAGGCATCCAGCCGTGGAAGGACCCCTACATTGCACAGCGTGGCGAGTCCGGCCGCTCAACATCCTTCGGGATTTTGACAAGCGTTATTTTTGGCTCTTCTCTGGGGGATAATCACCTATCTTTTCATCGTTGGATCTGTGCCTTGTGCATGGCTGCGAAGAAGAGTGAAGCAACGTCAAATCTTGATGTTTGTACGTAGAGGCGTGATCAGGAGCTCTCCACTAAGAAGATCCATATTAAACATGGCCCAAATCCCTGGGTGGAACGAATTCAAGAACCCGAGTCAAGCCAGAGCCATCAGCTTGCCAAACTCTAGCACAGAGATTGTGGTCGTCTCAAATTGCGGGTGCTGGATGGCATCTAGACTCCGCGCTATCATCCCGAGCTCCCACGTTTATTCCTCGTTTCTCTTCCCACTGCAGAACATTCCGCCCTCGGTCGTTTGATTCCCTACTTCCCCCGGATACTGATTCCACTGTTGAGCAATGAAATCGTCAGATCCCTGCACGCGAAACCACACCCCTGGACACCAGCTGCGGTCCAGGGCGGGGGGTTGCAAAGAGGAGCATCCACAGTGGAAACCTCCAAGCCCTAGGGGCCCTCGCATCTCTACACGTGCGAAATACGGGTGACGCTCGAAGCGATATAAATAATGGCGTGGAAGCACCCCAATCGGTGATGGCCAAACCGCCGACTTTTGCTGGGTTGTCCGTTCGCGAGGAGCTCTGTTGAAGTGACAATGAAGTTTACCACCATTGCGTTGGTGGTTGGAGCCCTGGGCAATGCGAATGCAGCTCCCTCTCGTGGCCATCATGGCTCGATCAGGAATATCCAGGTCGGAGTGCGGCCAGACTATCTTGTCAGCATGATGGACGACAGCCCGCTGAAGCGCAAACTCGAATCGTGCTCTGAGAAACCGCTTCGAAAGACAGACTTCTCCGTCAGTCACCGTGGAGCGCCGTTGCAGTTCCCCGAGCACACCAAAGAAGGGCTCTACGCAGCTGCTCGTCAGGGCGCAGGTATCCTCGAATGCGACGTTGCTTTCACCAAGGATCGTCAGCTTGTTTGCCGACACTCGCAATGCGATCTTCACACGACCACCAACGTCCTTGCGGTCCCAGAACTTGCGAAAAAATGTACTAAACCCTTCACTCCCGCTAAAGACGGCAAGCCGGCCAGCGCAAAGTGTTGCACCAGTGACTTCACTCTCGCCGAATTCAAATCCCTCTGCGGCAAGATGGATTCGTCCCTTTCATCAGCCAAAACCCCTGAAGAATATCTCGGCGGCGTTGCAGCTTGGCGAACCACCCTCTACGACCAGACCTGCAGCACTCTCATGTCCCACAAGGAATTCATCGAAATCACCAACTCCCTCGGCCTCAAATTCACCCCCGAACTCAAGACTCCACAGGTTCCAATGCCATTCGAAGGAGACTATACGCAAGAGGACTATGCTCAGCAGCTCGTGGACGAGTATAAAGCTGCCCGTATTCACCCTAGCCGCGTCTTCTTGCAATCGTTCCTGCCAGACGACGTATTCTATTGGATCCGCCGTGAACCAGCATTTGGAAGGCAAGCCGTGTACCTCGACGAGCGTGTCGACACGCCCAAAGGCTACGAACAAGCCATTGCGGACATGAACAATCTCGCCCGCAAGGGTGTCAAGATCCTCGCCCCGCCAATCTTTGCTTTACTCTCGACAGACTCGCGGAATCGGATCGTAGCTTCCGAGTATGCGAAAGCGGCGAGGAAAGCGGGGATCAAACTGATCACCTGGTCGTTGGAGCGCTCGGGACCACTCAAGGACGTTGCAAAGAACAAGGAGTACTATTATCAATCCGTGCTGTCGGCTGTGAAGGATGATGGCGATATGTACGAGGTCGTGGATGTGTTGGCAAGGCAGGTGAACGTGCTGGGGATATTTTCGGACTGGCCGGCAACGGTGACTTATTATGCCAACTGCTTCCGGCTGTGATTTTGATATAGCAGAGGAACCTGTGGATATTGTGGTTGGTCTATGTATTTTTGGATAATTCATACATGGCAAGTCATTATATAGTTTACTAATAAAAAATGACAATATTCCCTTGTCAAATCCCCGTGTGTTCTTGTAATAGATCAGCAGTCACAATTTGCTACTAAAGGGTTGAGGCTCGGGGCATTTCCACAAGCTCAACAAGTGGAAAATGGCTAGATTTGGCACTAGTAGGCAAGATGACCGAGCGGTTAAGGTGCCAGACTCAAGCGCAAAAAGTTGCCTTGCCCATCTCCCAAGATGGTGTGTCTTCTGGTGGGGCAACCCGCGGGAGTTCGAATCTCCCTCTTGTCAAAATATATATTTTTTTAGATTTTATCATTTTGATGCATGCATCTCGATGGCCCCGATATCGACGAGAAAAGTAACCAGCATCAAGTAATTAAAAAAACCAAAAGCTTGGTAGCTCTATCATAGTGGATTGGATCTATATATACGTGACATTCCATCATTATTTCATATCCCCCAGTCTAGCCCATCGCCAGGCTGGAAAAGCTCGAGACGCCTATCCCAACCCATAAATTCACTCCTCCCCCTTCGACGATCGAAACGCCTCCAACAGCGCCTCTGCCTCCTGCGGATTCACCGCGTCCTCCAACATCTCATGAGCCATTTCAACTGTATCATCCGTAATCCCACTCTCCAACAACGGCCCGTCACTAAACGCCAACCTCGTCAACACCACCAAATGCTTCTGCACCGCCCCCGGCACCGCGCGCAGCTTTGACGGCAGGTCGACCTTGTCCGGAAACGTCGTGATGATCCCGTACGCCAGGCGCGTGAGCCCGTTCACCAAGGAGGCGTGTAACTCTCGTTCTGGCGGGTGGGAGTAGAGCGCGTCGAGTTCGTCGTGCATCGCGCGGAACACTCGGGCGAGGGCGCTGGGGTGGGTGGCGAGTAGACTACCGGCGTGGTTGCGTTCCGGGTCTGACGAAGGGGAGGAGAAGGCTATTTCAAGCAGAAAGGACATGGCCTCTATGCGCAAGGTGATAATTTGCTGTGTTGTGTAAGGTGGTTCTCCCTCGTCGGCGGAGGGTTGTTCATGGAGTAGGTTAGCGATACGGTCAATGATATAATTCTCGTTTGCAATCTGCTCCGCTTCAGTTGGCAGAATGGGGCCAAAGTTGGTGGGGAAGATGCTATAGGAAAGGAGGTTAAGGACGAGGATGATTTCTTTGATAGGCTGATATGCGTTTAACATGATGAGGATGAAGTCGTAATTGACTGACCGCCAGAATTGACGGAGAGCTCTATCGTCATGGCAGCATCCGCTGGCAGCGAGGTATAGGAGCTCCAGCGCCGCTGTACCATTTACCTGGGGATGCAGATCCGTCTGAGGTGTCCGTTTCACCTGTCCGTAGTTCAGGTGTGAGACTGGTGAATTTGTAAACCTCGGCACCGCGTTAACAAATCCAGAACTCTGGAGAACCGGAACCAGCTGTGACACAAGGAGAGGAGCAACCGTGGTAGTGTCTAAGTTGAGAATGAATTCAATAATTGACATGAACATGGACACCGGTCGGTAAAACTGCTCTTTAAGCGCCCGGGACCACAGCGAGAGGATGGCGTTTGCGTACTCTAACGGATAGTTTTCTGATGGTCGTGCCATCGCTTCCAAGATGAACGAGGAAAACATCTTATTGGGCTCAAGAGGAAACGAGATGGTAGCAAAGACTTCCAAATCACGAGGGCTTTCTAGCCGGCACCTATGGTTAAGGACTTTTCGAATAAACTGGATATTACGATCTTCCGGGGGCGGGTTTTCCGATCGTATCTCGATATCCATGTGGTCTAGGTTCCCGCTGGTATCTAAAAGATTCGACTCAAAGGACTGGCTTAGTTCAAGAGGACGAACAACAGGCGAATCATCAGCTGCACCCCGTTTTCGCTTGCCCGGTGCCGATGGCGTCCCTCGCTTTGATCTTCTCCCCGCTGACTTGCTTGGAGACGCCATGATCTCATCGTCGTCGAACCCGTCTCGCAGTGGGAGCATCCTTGATTTGCTGGGTGTCATTGGCGCAGCATCATCGGCTTTGGCCTTTGCCTTTCGGCTCTGGTGCAGTCCATTGAGCTTGATCGACTCTTCCCTTAAATCTTGTTTGAGGAACTGATTCTCGGTTGCAATGCGCTTGCTTTCCATCATAGCGGCCTGTATCTCAGATTGATGCTTTTTAACTTCCTCGTCCAACGCACTCCGCAAGGCACCCATCTGGCGATTATGGCTCTGTTCCAATTTCATCTGATTCGCTCGTATGATCGCAATCTCCCCTGCGCGTGTGTCAGCGGCAGACTTCGCAGAAGTCAGCTCTTGAATAAGCTGTTCGCGTTCTCTAGTGAGCTGTAACAACGGTTAGAACGAGAATATTTTGATACTGGTCAGTGCGAAAAGCATACCTGCTCAATGTGCTCCATCATCGCTTCCACGTCCATCGTCTCATCATCGGTGTAGAGCCTGCGTTTGTCCCCTTCACTGAGTGGATACACCCTATCCCCCGATGCGTCGTTACCGAGGAGCGCTGACATCTGCATGGGAACCTCTGTACTTCGGGCTTGCGCCAATTCCGTTTCAAGGAGAATGCGACTGATATTCCCTCCATCCTCAAGCCCGATGTGCTGTTCATCGCCTAGAAATGGCTCGCCGCCGTCACCCAAGACCGATGCGTCGAGGTTCTGCGTATCTGTATCGCCAAAGCTCACCGGATTCCGAAGAAGTTTCGACGGCGGCTGAAGCACGACAGACTCGGCATGAGGTTCTCCAGGTATGTTGCCCGCTAGATGATGCTGCGCCGCCGCATCTGCAGTATCCACAAGTGCAATTAACTCGTCCGCTGCGAATTCTTCCTCAAAGCCATCGTAATCGAGCTCTTCATCGTCCATGCTTGGGGCTGCAGCCGTCTCGCCTATCGTGCGCCACGGGGGTTTGAGCGCCTGGATTCATGTGGAGAACCAAACAGTAGAACCGATGCTCCCGTAGAAGCAAACCGCCTTGGTCCCTGTGCGGGAGAAAAGCCGTTGGGCGAGAATGCAGCAGATGCGCCTGTGTTTGATTTGCGTTGACGTAAGATTTTCATGTGCAAAGGCTGAGCATCTGGACCAACAAACATTTCATCACCGCGAAAACAAGATCGCACACAAAACACCCTCCCACCGGCACCTTGCTTCAAAAGCAGCTCTTGTCCGCAACACAGCTGCATCTTTCTTCTCACATTGGTGTGCTGCTCGACCTCCGCCTCTGGAGTTTCCCTTGGAGCTCCTCAGCAGCTCAGCCCAAACCCGTTTTTCCGCCCAACAGTTCATCGTCGAGCTTTCTCCCCCAGTCCACGACAGTCAACCCATGAGCACCGCCTTTTGTTGATTTACAATGGGCAGAACGCGACGGAATGTCCGATTTCAGCATCGGTCCAACAGTGAGGTTTCGAAGATAAACTCAGACTCCGATGTATCGGAACCCCCCAGCCCCCGCAAAGACGGAAGCGGCGGAAAGGGGGAGGTGTCCCACGAGGTATATGACTCTACATGGCCCTTTTCAATTGATTCAAGGCTTACGGTTATCTCACTATATAGAAACAGGAGCATCTTGGCGACCAGATTTCCGAGTACGAAAAGAAGAAACAGACTTTTATAACTCGAACGATATGGACCTTCGTGATGATCTTTGGGTTCTTCGTGTCCATGTTCTCCGGCCACATCTATGTCATTGCAATTGTCACTGCTATCCAGATCATATCCTTCAAGGAGGTTATCGCCATCGCCAATGTACCCAGCAGGGCCAAAAACCTGCGGTTCACCAAGGCCCTCAATTGGTATTTCCTTGCGACGACGATGTACTTCCTGTACGGAGAAAGTGTGATTTACTATTTCAAACACATCCTGCTCGTTGATCGAGTGCTTCTCCCGTTGGCGACACACCACCGGTTTCTCAGTTTTATGCTTTATCTAATAGGTACGAAGCTCCTTGTGACAGGAATAGACCAGACGTTGTGCTAAGATTGAATAGGCTTTGTGTTTTTCGTCGGCTCTCTTCAAAAAGGCCATTACAAGTTTCAGTTTACCCAGTTCGCATGGACTCACATGGCGCTTTTCCTTATCGTCGTTCAGGCACATTTTATCATGAACAATATTTTCGAAGGGATGATCTGGTTTTTCCTTCCCGTGTCGCTTGTGATAACAAACGATATCTTTGCCTACGTTTGCGGAATCACCTTTGGCCGGACGCAACTTATCAAGATTTCACCTAAGAAAACCGTCGAAGGTTTCGTCGGCGCCTGGATTTGCACGATCATCTTTGGTTTTGTCATGACGAACATCCTTCTTAAATACAAATACTTCACCTGCCCCGTGAATGACCTTGGCTCGAACGTTTTGACCGGCCTGGAGTGCAATCTCAATCCCGTCTTTCAGGCGCAGCCATACCGATTGCCTCACTGGACGCATGTCAATCGAACCTTTTATATCGCGCCGATGCAATTCCATATTCTCATGTTCGCGACCTTCGCATCCCTCATTGCTCCTTTTGGCGGCTTCTTTGCTTCTGGCTTAAAACGCACATTCAAGATTAAGGACTTTGGCGAATCAATTCCCGGACACGGCGGCATCACGGACCGTATGGATTGTCAGTTCATCATGGGCTTTTTCTCGTATATGTACTACCATAGTTTCATTGCGGTGCACAAAGCGAGCGTTGGTGGTGTCATCGAGGCCGCTATCACTGGTTTGACCGTGGACGAGCAGATTGACGTTATCAAGGGATTGACGAAATATCTATATAATCAGGGTGCTGTGTCGGAAAAGGTATGTTTGAAATACACCAATAACACTTTATGTTAGACCTCACTAATGCTTCTTATAGCTCCTGGAGTGCTTCAACGGAGATTTCAAGCTTCACAGATGATTCATTTTTTTGAAGAAGTCTGACGAGCCTCCTTTCCTAGCTTGAATCTGATTCTTCTCCTGGAGACACCCCAAGTCCTCTGTTAATATTTTTACCCTGACTCATACCCATGGTTGATCAACCTCCTAGACAACGGAATACTCTGTCGATATTCAATTCAATCACCTAATGTGACTGTTTTTATTACAAAATTGCTTCTCATCGCGCATTTTCGTGTTTCCCATGCTCCATACCATCCTTTTGAATAAACCTTTCTTCGAGCTGTAACTCTTTTACATCCTTTTCAAGTATGCAGGGTGGGAGCTTCTCTTAACTCCATCAAAGCACTTGAAAAGATATATCATATTTGCATAGTTTCTAACTAAGATATGAGTATGTAATAGCTTGTGATGATGACTTCTCTTGTCCCACAGTATGGTGCGGGCTGACATGTTTTATTGATTATATATTTATTCTTGTGCTTATCAGCCTTTTATGCATTTTCAGTGCGGTTAGCTTTGAGAATTGGTGAATGAACGAAGCAAAAAACATGACTTGAGAGAATTTGTGTCTTCATTTATATTCAGTAAGGTGGCCAATGATGCTAATCAATGCATCCGTATGTGACGGGAGAGCCCGGCCGCGCTTGCTGATGAGGATCGACACAGTGAACCCTCCTTGAGGATTCACACGCTTCATCGTTCGGGGCGAGGAGTGTGCTTTATTTTGTGCCCCTTTGCTGCCTTGGAAGCAATGGCTTTCAGTATCATAGGCCGAAGAGTCGATTTATAGCGACATGATCTGACAGCAATAGCTTCCGGCCCGCGTATAAGCCAATAAGTATTGAAGCTTCCTCTACCGGCTCGAATCGCGCTCCTCCCATTTCGGCCTCTAGGTATCATCCCCAGTGTGGCGCAGACTAGGACTATGCTGGGCGCGCGTTCCATATTTTCACAAAACGTTCATATTTTCTTCAATTCATCAAAAAGTTGAACGCTTCGCCTTACTCTTCTACCTCATATTCCTCCATTTCCACCTTGAAATATCCCTCCACTGTTTCTTTCTCTGCTCTCGCTTGTTCGGGGTCCAGCATAAAGCGTATAGTGGAGTCTCTACCCCTTTCGTTGGATGGGCGAGCGGGATCGTGGGCGGCAGTTGGTGCGAGCGGGTTAACGCGCGTAGTGTCCTTTGGCGCGGAGCCGGTAGCGTTTCTATTGTCCTTGTCTCTATTCTTTCCCGATCCGTTAATTGCTCGGACGCCGTTTGTGTCGGGCTTGCGCTTGTTGTAATAGCCGTAGCGGGTCAGTTTCTTGGAGTCAGCTTCACGATTCAAGGGGATGCGGATGTTGAGTAGCGTGTCGATGGAGAAGTCACGCCCGATAGAAGTTGAGTTGCGGTGGTGGGTGTAAAGTTCGAGAAGATCGAGCATCGTTTCTAGGTTAGGATATGGGTAAGCAATCATCTGATGCCAGGGTAGAACAAGGGAAGGGCTAAGGCAATCATACCCATGACTTCTGCCCGAGATGTTTGCCACTGCTCATACTCGGAGCCCGACTCCACGTCTTCTAAACGCGATTCCGACAACCTGCCTGCGAGCTCTAAACAGGCGAACGCCATCGTAGATGAAGTCTGCTTTAACGGGGCAAACGTGCGATATAAGTCGAGACTTATCGTATACGCAAGTCTAGCAACGCCGGAATCCTTCTTTAGTCCATGTCTTTTGATCAACTTTAAAAGAACTTTCTGCGGATGGCGATTCCGAAAATCGAAGCCGGATGACTCGAGCATTAATCTTTCGAGCCCAATGATGCTGCGGGAGTGTGATTCAAAAGCCTAGATGCCTTGAGCATGGGAAATACTCGTCCTGAGAGGGAGGGGAGAGCATACAGGGTCATCAGCAGATAAATGTTCAGCAGGTGGCAACTTCAAGTTATAGGCTGTGCAAAGAATATCTCGCGACTTCTTGAGAGTATCCTCAATCTTGCAAGCGGTGAAAAGAGCCGCTGCTGCTGCATCCTTGGGACAGAGAGTTAGTACAGCAGGGATTTGGCAGCATAAGGCTCAACGCACAACATGGTTATACTCATTGTCAGAATGCACCAAGCGGAATTTGTGATAATATATTGCTGCCGTATCAAATGTCCTCACTGGCCTGGGAACCATCGATTAGCATAAGCACAGCCCATCAATAGAGAGAGGGGAAATATGTATTATAATAAAGGGTGATCTGTCATACAAATGAAGCGCCTTTCGCACATTATCGATCCAGGTTATGCCTTGGAGTCGAACGCTGTCTTCTCGTTGGGGATTCACCCCAGTGGCAGCGAAGCAGTCTTGCAGCGTCTTTTCAAATACATACTGATTTGCTACCTGGATGAATGATGGATGCGGACCTGCTGGAGGCGGAGGCGGCGGAGGAGGAGTATGGTTCTGATCGTCAGCACGGCCATTTTCACTTCTTGCAGGGGCCATTGTTATCAGCATCCGAAATCAAGTATGAACTGCTCAATATCGTTGCTTGATATCGCTGATGGCAAGCTTCACAAGTTGATCTGGATCGGGTTCCGGAGAAAATGATTCTCCACCGCCCAAACGCAAACCCAGAACAACCTTTGCTATGATAGTCTGAGATGAAGAAACTGATAATGGCCTGCTGGCAGATCTTCATCTCAGTTTTGTCCGGTTCTTATATAACCAGTTCGTTAACTAGGTAATTAGTTAACTAAATAGTCTTTTACATATCTCATCCCATTAACCACCCCTGGAACTCCGATTATAAAAACGATTATGATCCCTCCCTATGCATCCACAGGCTGAGCTAATAACCCTTTCCTAGACATGTTAGCCATCCACATCTAGCTCCCATTTTGTTGCCTGACATTTTGGTCATGGCGGCCTCCACTCTTGTTGTGGTTCCTCAGTGCTACTACATCGCCAAACGCTTTGTTGCAAGGCCTGCAAAAGTTATGGTTCTCTTTCTGCTGATGTGCCCGCAGCTGTTCCGGAGTATTCCCTGCAAATGCACAGGACGGGACAGTACATGGATACTTTGCTGGTGGAGCTTTGGGCTTTAGGGCACCGGCAGGCTCCGCTCTACTTGGGCCATGGCGAGAGTTATCGTGGAATGTAGCCATGTGCTGTTGATGGCTTTTCAAATCCAGGAAGTAACTGTTGCATGCCTTGCAGTAACAATGGGCTTTCAACCGCTGGTGTGTGATAAGGTCTTCTAGGTTGAAATGTGCCGCGTTGCACGAAGTACACCGGAAGTTGTGGACTTGTTCCTTGTGCTTCTGCAAGACGCTCCGGTCGGCGAAAAACCCGAGGCACCAGTGGCAATAGTTATGCTTGCTCACCATCTGGTGTTGATGAAGAGCAAGGATGTTGGTGAAGGTCGCTCCACATTCAAAACATAATATCCCGCTTGTTTGCACATTTGGTTGCTGTTGGGCTTCGGGAACCGGACGAATTTGAAGAGGCGTCTTGATCAACTCAGAAGATTCCGGCGTGATTGTGGCTGGATGAGGAGATCCGGATGATGTCGCCGGAGAGGTAACAGGCACTCGCTTCTTCAGTTGAACCTCTTGGGTTTGGCTTGGGGTATCCTTGACAACCGTCCTTTCTAGCGCCGGTCGGTTTTTTAGGACGTCCTGAAAATTGCTGATGGCTTTGCTGAGGGTACCGCTCTCTTCATTCGGCGGGCTCAGATCCAGCAAGTCCCCCTCCGGCGGTCCTGAAAGTGCCATGGGAATTCCTTTACTTGCTGTTCCGCTAGGAGCTGGAATGGGACTACCATCCACTAGGTTTCCAAGAAGCAAATCGTCCATATGTCTTGGGTCCGTGGGAAATTGGCTTGTCTGGGTTTCTGCTGTTTCTACAGTCGGATTTCCCAAAGTGTGCGTCTCCATGTGCTCATCCAGTGGTATATATCGGAAGCCCTGCTCTCTAGCCGTAACGGCGGGATTAGGAAGCGGGGACTCCTTCGTCATCGCGGCGCTTCCTATAGCCTTTCTTCTAGATGGCGCTGTATTAGCGGGATCTAGGCATATCAGCGATCTAAGCTGGGCCAACTTACTTTGGGTGCTCCACTAACTGATGGAGTTCGAACTCGCATTGGACCTCAAAAATCAGCTCGCAGGTCGAGCATTGTCGCAGCGGGCCAGGTTTAATATGGTCCAGGTACGTCTGGCTGTTCTGAAGGACCAGGTTGCATGACATGCATTGCCTCATGGCTATAATTGCTTTTAACCCTGGCGAGCACGGAGCCTGGGTCAGTGGAGGTTTGACAATGATCTGACGTTTTATGCCAAATATAGAGAGTGCTGAGACCGGCGAAGGATGAAATGTTGTTTCCGCTATGAGCTTGGAAAGAAAGGAAAAGAAATCGGCGCCGTGAGAGGATGAAGGAAGCTGGTTTTGTACCAACCTTTATTTTGATCAAAGATATCTGATTCTACGGCTTTCTTCCAGTGCGAAAACCTGCAGTAACGTAACGCAAACAGCCAAAACGTGAAGAGACTGGCCATTTTTCTTTGACCTGGCTTAAGATCTTTGTCACTGTATGTGTTGATTTTACCTGGTAGAATGTGAAGCCGTAGATATCTTTTCCAGCCGGCATGCACTGTGAATTGACACGGGAACACGCACAATCAGCACTAATATAGTGAGTGATTCTTTATTTGTCCATTTTTGCTCACTCTCCATGATCATTATCAACGGATCCAGAGCAGTGAAAGCCTTAAACAAAGATTTTATCCTCTCACACCTGGCTTCTGCCCTCTTCTGTAACCATCTCCAACACGCCATTGCACAGCTCTCAAGTCCCTAGACGGGTTCCCCGGCCGCCATGCCCACGCCCGGCGCCCACTGCCCTTGCAGCCTGCCACCCATGCCTCCAGTCCGCCGTGTCTGTCTTTCTTGCTGCGTCAATTTGATATCACATGATCGCATACTGCCCCCCGGTCCCGCCTTGACCCCTGTTGGGCAGGTGGGGTTGCAATTGCGACGTCGGACGTCAATATAAGAAGCGTCTCTCGCTGCACTTCCGTCCTCGATGGCTGGATCAAAAGGATCCAAAACATCCTCTTTGTTGGTAGCCGCTTGGAAACAGTCCCGGAGAGGAATCGCAATGGCATCTACTTATCCTGCACACCTCCATCATGCCGCAACCGGTTCTGCAAAGAAGCTGGCGGATGAGCATTCAGGGGAACAGCCGTTAAAGCTTTATGCTGGATGGTTCTGTCCGTATGTCTTTCTCTGGAATCCTATATTTAGACATCCTCTCTTTGTTCAGGGTGAACACTGACCAGCCGAAACGGGACAGATTTGGTAATATGAAAGCCTTTCTTGGTTTTGGCTTATGCGCTTCAACTAATGCTTGACCTCCGTAGTCCAGCGAACATGGATAGTCCTTGAGGAGAAAAAAATCCCGTACCAGTACATCGAAGTCAATCCATACGACAAACCGGCTTCGCTCTTATCCCTCAACCCGCGAGGCCTGGTCCCTACGCTACACTGCCCGCAACCAGGTGGGCAGGCTGCCAAACCTCTCTACGAATCAAACATTATCAACGAGTACCTCGACGATGCTTATCCAGACCATACCCCACGGTTTTTACCCTCAGATCCATATGAACGGGCTAGAGCGAAAATCTGGATTGATTTTGCCTCGTCAAAAATCGTGCCTGGCTTCCATCGTTTTTTGCGATGCCAAGACGAAGAGGGAATTAGTAAAGCTCGTGCGGAGTTCCTGGGTTATTTGAAAGAATTCACACTCGCGATGGATGACGAAGGACCGTATTTCTTGGGTAAGGGATTCATGATGCCTGATGTGGTGCTTGCTCCATGGGCGATGAGATTATGGTCTTTCGAACAGTTCAAAGGCGGGTTGGGAATCCCAGACCCTGGTCAGGGAGGTCCCGACGAGGAGGTCTGGCAAAGATGGAGGAGGTGGTTGGCTGCGGTGACGGGTAGAAGATCCGTGCAGGATGTCATGAGTGACAGGGAGCACTACCTACCGATTTACAAACGGTTTGCGGATAATCTTGCGTAGAGCAAGCTATCTATGCAAACCAAGACCGGGAGGCGTGCCTGGAGAGAGAGTACTCCTAGCCTTTCCTCTCAGGTATTGCTTACGACTGGTGAAAATACTAGAATTTAGATGATGGACCAAAATCCATGAAACACTGGACCATCGTGTTAACTTGACTGAATCAATGATGTTCTATGTAGGCGAGGCTGCTGGTGACGTTGGGAAGGGGTGAGGAGAGAGCAGTGAGCCTCCCACACTAGTTATTCCAGATGCAGAGCTGCCAGATTCCTAATGACTACTCTGCAGTTATTACCCACGTTTCATTTATTCGTCCCTATTAAAAGTTAACCCGAGCATTCGCCTCTTCTTCAAGCTCTATCACAACATCGCCTGCATGACGCCGCTGACAGGGCGTTGGCTAAGGGTATCTCTGAAAAAACTGCATGATGCGTTGCAATTTCTCCCCAGTTAAATCAACCCGGAGAGCCATGATTGGTCTCTTCATCTCCCATCACTTCAGCTGCTGCCAGCAACAATTTGAATCTGCCATGTTCTAAAGAGACTTTCATGAATGTTGCTTCTGAAATGGCAACGAGACCCCGATGTGCCGGACTGGTTCTGCGCACGTTGACACGGCCTGCGCCCATTCGGATTGAACATATCGCATCCTCCTACTTCCTGGGAGGCCAACAACGGAGAATGTCAACGCCAGCAGCTCACCCCCTGGTCGAGTGTGAGTCCCGAAAGACAGCTCCATTAATCTCACAACATTGACACTATGACAAAAGCACCGTTTGCCTATACTGCTGGGCGATGGTTGCACCTTGACAAGGAGCAACGTCAAGCTCGGTATCTCCGATTTGACTTTGATGCGTTGTGTGAAAAAGTTCTTTCTCTTTCTCCTTTAGCTGCCTCTATCCAAAGCTGCCAGAAGCTCGAAGGGGGCTTTAGTAGAGCATTCATTTTCACTACCGATGACGGCAGACGCGTGGTTGCAAAATTTCCTATGCCTGTTGCTGGCTCACCTCGATTCATCACAAATTCCGAAGTTGCAACAATTACGTACTGTAAGCCCAGACGGGAGAAGGTTCCCTGAACCGGTTAACTAGTTTTACTCACTCCCATTTATAGTAAAATCCAACACCAAGATATCCATCCCGGAGATCTTGGACTGGAATGATGACCCATCCAACCCCATTGGTTCGGCATACATTATAATGCAGCATGCGGGCGGTGTTTCGCTGCAGCAAGCGTGGCCAGGAATGTCTAGTCTCCAGAAGATGCATTGCATTCGAGATATTAACAAAAATATCATGCAATTGTCCAAACTCGACTTTCCTGCATATGGCAGCCTGTACTTCTCAGATGCAACATTCTTTGGCTCTGAGTCAAAATTCAAGCTGCAAGACGAGAAGTACTGTGTTGGGCCACACTGTAAAACCACATATTGGGACTGCAATGTTGGGGAGCCCAGGTATTATCATTTCAAAGGGCCGAATCAAGGACCATGTGAGATGATATCTTTCCTTGATACCTTTGGTGCAATTTGGCTTAACGATCTTTTAGGGCGTGACCTTTTTATCGTATTCGTCCGCCTTACTCGACGCTGGTTTTGCGAGACTACCCCCGAAATACGACCCTCCTCCGCATCAACCATGCTACGAAGGCTCGCTCAATGATCATCTAGCCCTTTTGAATCAAGGCCAGGCCGTGTTTCCCAAACTGATACAACATCCGCAGCTACAGTCCAATGCCGCTCCAACCATCTTTCACCCAGATTTACACAAGAGAAATATTTTCGTCTCCGAGGATGATCCCACTGTAGTGACAAATTTGATTGACTGGCAGTCTGCTTCTATCGAGCCAGCATTTTATTACTCAGACGATGTGCCTGATTTCGCGAAGCCGCCTTCCGAAGAAACAGAAACGCCGACTGGGGAAGACTATTGTAGCAAAGTCTACGCGGCAGGCCTAGCATTTCTAGCTCCGCGGCTTACGGCGGCGAGAAACATTGATGAAGCACTTCTCCGCCCGTTGCGCTATTGCCATCGGACGTGGAGAGATGGTGTAGTGCCTTTTTCTCACGGGCTGACAGAGCTGAGGGAACGGTGGGAGGAGCTCGGTTTCAAAGACGAGTGTCCTATCCCCACTCCGACCGTTGAGGAAAAGCGCGTTTATGAAGAACGGCTAGATACCTATAACAAGTTCTTAGAGGTCAGACAGGATCTTGTTGAGACTCTGGGAGTTGAGGAGGACGGGTGGACACCGCTAGATCGCCGGGAAGAAACGGTGGAAGCTCATCGGCAAGTCTATGAGATTATCATGTCGGGCTTGGATAATGACCAGGACCGTGCGGAGATGACGGTAATGTGGCCATTTGATAGCATCAAAACATGAATGAGAGGTTTCAGGTAGGGTAGTGATGTTGACGGCCACACTCGCTCTAGGAACAGAGGGCCACTCTACAAGCAGAACATTCTGACGTAGGCTGTGTAGCCCACTTGCATTTTGTAGTCTTATTTCTTGAAGATTGAGGCTTGAAGGATAGACTGCAGACAAAACTGAGGCACCTTTGGTCAGAGGAATCCTCTAACACTTGATCAAGAGGCCTTTTTATTTGTTTGCTGGCATGATATGCTGTATATCTTGAATTCAAATTCACTTTGAAATTGAGTGTAGGATCCTGAATTTATGTCAACAACATCATGTAGGTCCAGGGAGGTCGTTCCCAAATGAGATAACTGAACCAGATTTTCCTTAGGATTTTAGTATGAAGCTCTATAAGGTTCCCACCCGAGCCTCTCTTTACCCGGCCCGCTGCCTCCCCTCACCTTAATAAATGGGCCCTCTGATTTCCAAATACTTGAGTTCAAGTATGATCAAATCCACCATAGGCAAAAAAGGGTATTACATTTCGCTAATCGACAATCATTAACTAGTCATTACGAAAACCTTAGCACCAGCAACCGCAGTGGCTCTCCAGTCATTGGACAAGTTGAATACTCTGTGAGATAGATAAGTGGAGGGTTGTCTATGCGTCCGCCTCCACGTCAAACTCTTCCCGCAGCCTTTTGTCGTAAGGCTGGCCTTGTCTTCGATCTTTCTAGCAATGAACGTGTCCACGTCTGAAGTCCAGAACTTATATGTCACATTGATGAAGCTTGTATCGTCATCTGCGGATTCTGGCGAATATTTCTTCAATATGATTGAAGAATATATGGTACAGGCCAGTTATGCTTGTTAAAGCCAGGGAATACCAGAATGATTTGTTCTCCAGTCCTCCTCTTATAATAATTTGAAAACAGATATCGGTGTCTCGGGGTAAAGGTCCCTTTCTTGCTGCTCCATGATAGCCATAAACTCTCCATGGACCGATGTAAAGTGATCCGCATCGATCTGATCCACAAAGCGATTTGTGAACCAATGGGGCGGGTGCAACATCTCAATCGGCTGTGAACAGGCGAACTCCAGGTCAATAAGGCATGAGATATTCCAATCCTCATCAACAAGAATATTGCTCTGGTGGAGATCATTCAGAACATAGACAAAGGGGCCCCGACGGAGTTCGCGTTTGAAGAAGCAGGCAGCCACTGTTCTCATAGTTGTCAAAGCAGCCGCCTGAAAAGCACCGTCGGTCCTGTCTGTGAGGGCATTTGGTTGGTGGGTAAAACGGCTGTCATGAATTGCAAGGGTATCGGTAACATAGGAGTCAACTGAGGAGTAAGTCATATTCCTGGGTATATCAACCGGAATCTGCCTTCCCTCCATCTCAGTAATTATTGGCGAAAGTGGCCTGTTGCTCAACACCAAAAAGCCATTGTCATCAATGACAAATGAGCCGATCAGCGGCACCGGAACTTTGGCAATATCTAACAATATCCGTGAAAGTCCTTTGAAGAGATTACGACGCAAACCGTCATCATGTTTCTTGAGCTCCCAAGAGCTGGAAAGCATAGTGCCCTTGGACTGGTCAATGTACTCGATCAAGAGATACCCAGATTTCAGAACATCAAAACATGGCCCTTGGTGCCGGACATATTTGGACGGAACAGCACAGCCAAATAAATTGCGTATGCGACAACGAATATAGTGGAGATAGCGTGGTAGCCAAGGTAGATTCTCAGCGGCAGTGAACTATGTAATCCCGTTACTTTGGTATTTATAGTCAGTCATATTTTGCATCAAGATCCCATGGCTTACCGTTTGGCCAGTCGACAGAGCAA